TCTCTTTTAGATTTCGAGATTAGAGAGCGATAAAGGAGACAGAACGGGTAGACAGCACCGGTAAAGGTATTTGAAGGGTCGTCAAAACTCACAGAAATTCACCTTAAAATGTGCGATGTAACATTAACAGATTAACTGGTCTTGATCTCAAAAGCCTTGGACCAGTTCACCCTTTTAGCATTATATTTGCGAACCGATGTAGATGAGAAAAAATGCACATCACTAATTACATTTCAAAGAAGAAGTAGAAAATGGGAAAATTTTTTCGGGTGTATGTAGATTGATTGGACTTCCGGGTGCCAATCTGTAATTTTATCAGTTGATATGACATCTGGGACTGCAGTTTCCGGAGGAAACCGCCCATGTGGCTGATTGAGTGAATTGGGACACATAGAGAGAGAGAGAGAGAGAGCGCGCGCAAGTGAATCATGATGTCAATCATTCAAGCCAATGCAATTGAGTGTACACAGCCATACAGGGGGGAGGGGGAGAGGGGGAGAGGGAGAGTGAGACCAGCATGATTTATTTCAGACCACAATTAAATATAATTTTTACCAATTAAGTAGAATTCGAATGGAAAAATTACATTCACTATATCGTTTATTAGGAAAGGAGTATCTTGCTCCCTTCTAAGCTCCTTTTTTTATTCTATTCCATCAACGCATTTTTGTAAAAATGCAGTGTGATCTAAATGAAAGAGGTCTCGTGTATACATAGAAAGGTAAATTAATAATAAGTTTCGCCTTGAACGCGGTAAGCAAGCAAGCGCTCAATACCACTTTCAGTATGATAATGAACACGAGGCCTCCACTATCCCGGTCACATTGCACTAATGTGTTGTTTTAAAGATTTGAATGAGCCGGCTATTGGATCCAACAGTCTGATTATCGACTATCTAAATTCATCCTTTTCCCGGGGGGGGGGGGTGGTTCATAAAAACCAACTATATGAATATTCAGCGGTGATAATTCCTTTTGTTATGAAAAAAAGAAATTCATCGTTCCATGACCTACTCTTACTGGCTTATTGGCTATTCAACATGCGAAAAAAAGCTATCCCGCTGTTAGATATGCCTTTCTTTTCATCGACATGAATAGTGGTGCTAGTAATCTTAGTTGCTAAATAGTTTCTTTATTTATTTCAAATGGGAGGATTTATGATAGTTGTCATGGGGTGTGTGATAGACTTACCTCCACGTGGTGCACCCTGGTCAACGTATACTCATACGGCAAAAAGGTCTATTACCTGGCAGTTGACTTCAAACTACCATGACCCCACTGTATGTCTTATTCGACTACTTTCACAGTACTCACCTCATCTTTTTCACTCTACCTTTGTGTCTCTCTCTTTAACATCTTTGAAATACTCTTCTGTTCCCCTCCCCCTCCCCCTCTCGACATTTTTTCACTTTGATGTTCCTTCTTCTCTGTGAAGCCTGAAGTCAACTAAAGGGCTTATGATAACTATCAAAATGCCTGCCATTTGATATAAATAAAATAAATGATAGTTGTCATTAGCCCTTTAGTTGACTTCGGGCTTCACGGAGAAGAGAGGGGGGGGGGACATCAAAGTCACAAAAAGTTGAGTGAGAATAGATGAGTGACTCACAGATGTAAAAGAGACAGACACAAAGGTAGAGAAAAGGTAAGGTGAGTATTGTGGAGGTATTCGAATATGACATACAGTGGAGTCATGGTAATTTGAAATCAGAAGTCAATTGCCGGTTTATAGACTTATTGCCCTATGAGTATACGTTGTCCAGGGTGCACCACGTAGAGGTAAGTCTATCGTACACCCCATAGTGAAATAGTAATTAGATAGGATCGGATATGTGTCGTTCGAATCCAGTGTTTGAAGCCATTTGGAATAGATTAACAAAGTGATTGCACTGCGTTAAGGTCCCAGAATAGCAATCAGTTCCCTTTTTCGATATAATTTCTACGCTAAAGTCGAATGGTCTATTTGGAACATTCAAAGACCGTCTTAAGGGATGAAAATTACGATGTTGGCAAGAAATACCCTATCCTTCATTTTCTTTTCATTGAATCAATGAGCGATGCATTTTAAAATATCATTCAAATTTTGTCGCAGTGGTTCTTTTGGAAAAAAAATGATTTACACATTGGCAAAGTAATCAGCATAAATATTGATGCGAATAATAGGTCAGAATACTGCATAAAAAATCGAAACAAACCGCAAATATTTTAGACAAACTTAGTAAGATTACAGGGGATAAAGTTCATATAACCTGGCGGAAATAAGATAAATTTTTTTCTTTAAATTAAACGCTCGGAGCGTAGCAATAATTTGCAGTTGCCCTGCAAATTGTGAATTTAACAATTTCCTTTAAACTAAGTTGAAGTCAAATTTATAATGCAATCTGACAGAGTAAGCCCATTCAACTTATTGAAATGACGCTTTAGGCATACTGCACCACTTGGAATATACATCCAAATTGCGCATTTTACAACAATTTTTCTAAACTTCACTGTCATTGTGCCTGAATATTGTTGTTTTAAACATTTACATGTCATGCCAAGTTACACAGCTATGACATTTACGCACAACATGCTTAAACGTCAAGCATGGTTACTACGGCATTTCGAAACTGTTAATAGTTAAGTTAAGCTAATATTGTTTCCGTAGAGGCAAATCATTATAGTGTACTTTTAGCGCATTCAAGGTAGGTCAGTTTTTAAAGATATTTATTTATTTCAAATGGCAGGCGTTTTGATAGTTATCATTAGTCTTTTAGCTGACTTCAGGCTTCACAGAGGGAAGGAACATCAAAGAGAAAAAAAGTCGAGTGGGGGGGGGAGGAACAGAAGAGCGTTTCAAAGATGTAAAAGAGACAGACACAAAGGTAGAAAAAATGTGAGGTGAGTACTGTGAAATGATCGAATATGACATGGAGTCAGGTCATGGTAGTTTGAAGTCAGAAATCAACTGCCAGTTAATAGACCTTTTTGCCGTATGAGTGTACGTTGCCCAGGGAGGTAGGTCCATCGCACACCCCAGTTTTTGAAGATAAAGATGTCGAAGTATGGTGAAACTTGCAATAACTCGGTAGTTAGACTGACTAAAGCCCAACAACTGTTGTCAATTGTTAACTTAGTCACCATGACACATTTAATTCGTCAAAGTTGTCATGGAGCTGCTCTAGCCGTAATCGTCAACCTCGACATGACAGTTGACACCCGTCAAAACAAAACGAGAGAAATTGACTTTAAAGATTTCAATTAATGTGATTGAAACGGGCATTTGCTCTCCGCCTCTTTGGAAGCCAGGCAGTCATTCGAGAGACAGTTCACTGTGAATGTGATAACAGATGATCTTTCCATCTCTTTTTTTCATTTTCAGGAGGGATTAGAATTATTTATTTAAATAACACAACCCTAAGTAACTCATTAACAAAATAATTTAACAAGTAGGAATGAAGTATATTGGATTAACCAGTGGGATTCCGTTTTTCGAAAGATCAGATCACTACAAGCTACGTTCATCATTTTTCCATTTTGTAGGTTTTGAAAACCCTTGTTAAAGATTTAGAAGACCCGTCTTCTAACCATCTAAGATTTAATATAAATTATTTAGCACTACAGGATTAAATCATTTTATTATTGTTTGAATATTAATTAAATTTTGTCAAAGTCCCAAGAAAATCGAATAATAACATTGTATGAAGTAGGATTATGGAGCGTCTTTGTTAGATTATCTTTCCCAAAACCCATAGTTTAAGCTTCTGTTATTTACATTTTATCAGTAATAAAATGAGATGGTGACTAAACTTTGAGATTGATAGTTTCATGGGAAAGCTGGTCGAACCTCATTAAGTGGGGATTTGGCTATATCCGGGAACACAGTTAAATTTTCTCACTTTATTTGCTGGGAAGGATTTAAGTGTCTACTAAATCATGCGTCTGAGCATGACACCTTGCGTTAAATTTATCTCCAAACTTGGCTGAGCACAAAAAGATTTTTAAAATAAAGAGTAAATCGAGTTTAAGGTTGTTAATTTTAGTAAAAGTTGCTACAATTCTTCATCAAAACTCTAAACAAAGAAAATAAGTCTCCTTGCACGAAAATATCCTACTGATAATGTTGAATAAAGGAATCTTATCTTCGTAATCTGTCTATTAGCACCATTGCAATTTGTTTTGTGTCAATCAGTAAAGAAAAATGCGTCAATCTTCGGCTTCACGGTTCAACTAATTTGTCAGAGACCAGACGTTGAAGAAGGTACAATGGGACGTTGAGATTGGCCATAATGAACCTTGCCTATTTAATACAAGTGAAAAGTCTTGGCGAATCTCTGTTTTTTCTTAACATCTCAATTCCTATTGGAATTATTTGCCAATTCCTCCTAATAAATACATTCCCTGGTTGTAATTTACATGGTTTTAACATGGGAAGTAAGTAAAATGGATTCACTTAATGCCTTCATTTTCCACAAGCACAGTAAACAAGCAGATTCTAATTGTGCTCTCGAAACAATCTTTGTAGATATGAATAATGTATGCAGACGCGCAGCTTTCGATTTCAGTTACCGATAAATGACTCATTTATATTCACCATATAATTACATAAATTATGCATTTTCTGGTAATAAAATTGCCTTAACAGTTTAGAAGGTTATGTTTTGGCGTAGGGCTATCAACATCCTTTGCCCCATCGAGATAAAGAGGCTTTGAAGCACTTTCAAAATTTCATTAAATACTTAAGAAGTTGGCTTTTATTGGCTCAAGGCATCATACGTGAATTTAATTACATATATATATATATATATATAGTGGTATCAACGATTTGCTTGTGTGCAGTGTAGGATGAAAATCAAATGAGTTATATGAATAGTATCTGTACAAGCGCAATAATAATTGATGTCTGCAAAGTATTAGTCGCATGGATTAGAAATGTGAGACCCTGTATTGTAGGAAGAAAACAACAGTGATGGGCGGAGAAAGAGTCGAAGAAATACGCGAAATCCATATCATATTCCAAATTCAAACACTGGGAAAGTTAAGCTGGGGCTGCTGTTGACTTGGCGTTTGCAAGAACGGAAGTCGTTGGTTCACCAAGAATCCTCCCATATTTGACGCTGGACTTCCCATAATAGCTGAGTATTGGTCAAAAGAGGTTTCGGTGGCAATAGAAGGCGCTGGGGGATGCCAGTAAGTGGGCTGTTGAGAAGCCATTGACTGCAGACCTGAGTAATTGTAGAAGGTAGAGGCTGAAGGTGGCAATTGGTTGGTGGGTTGGGACAAGTGTGACTGAAAGTTGTGAATTGAGTTCGTTTGAGTTATGGGACTTGTTGCTGTAGAAGGAGCAGCCATATGTGGATTCGAATTCCATTGACTTGGAGTTGAGGAGGAATGGGATGCATAAGGGGGGAGGCAGGATGACGTCTTGCTCCCATTTGAAAGGGTATTTCCATTTGAAAAGACGGAAGATCGTGGTGTTGCGCGTACTATAGAAGTGTAATCTTTCTTTACACTGGGCAGTGAATTACCTCGGCCAACTGGTGAGAATAAAGTTCCACCGCGTCGGTTGGCGGAGTGGTTAAGGTCTTTATTTCGTCGGCTCAGGAAGAAGTAGAGTGAGACGAAGACAGTCAGGAGGATAAAGGAGATTGGTACCACGCAGTAAACTATGATGTTATGTACTGTTGCATTGAAGGATTCTGCAAGTTATGAATGGGTAGAACAAAATAAATCTGTTTAAATATCAGCTTTTAAATTCGTCAATTTATTGGATATATTGCAATCAATTTTTGCAATGGAGTCTACACAGCATGTTGTAGCTGCGGTAACTTGACAATATTACGAATTTTAAGACAAGTAACTTTTTAATGGATATTTTTTTAAAAAAAAAGAATTAATTTAAAAATTACCTCATTCATAAAAAATAAGGTACTAAGATTCAAATCTTTATAAACGACGGTTCTTCTTAGTTAAACCTCTAAGAATGGAGGGAGGTATATTACACAATTTCATTGTTGGATTTAAACCATGCCAAATTTTAAAATAAAGTGGTCGATTCGTGGAGGTAAATAGGCTTTAATATAATGCCACGGCAGCATTAAAAATTGTTTATGAAAGTAATCTTTCCACTAAATCTGACATTTGAACTTTCAGTAATAAAATAAAGAGAAAAAAATTACTTACTTTGCAGAATAGTGACATATACGACTGCATAGTCGATGGCTTTGAGATTGGATCTACTCATTGTCATGACAACGTACTTTCCTGCATGGAGTTGAGGACTGACTGGTCCCCGAAGTCGCAGACGTGAGAGAAAAATTCTCTCCTCTGCTTCACCTTCGTGGCGAGTGTTGCTAAGGAATTCACGTTCTGGCACTGTAATTTCACCAGGAGTATTCCCGGCTGATCCCTGGGACTTGGCAGGATGTGTTTCAATCACTGTTTGTTCCATGAATGCTGGAGCATCTTCCCACTTCTCTAAGGCCAGATAGAGCTCACTCGCTTCCTCTGATCGTGGAGATGGTAGAGGAACCAACGATTTTCCCAGTGCTTTATAGGTGTCCACTTCCTCTGGATCAACTCGTTTCAACCACTATGATGGGAAACATATATATATATATAATTCAATTTCTTTGTTAGAAACATCAACAAATACATTATGTAAGAGTCAAATTCAAGGAACTTTCTAAGCTTGCTAAACATATTATCAAAGTACATCGCACAACCACCTTCTGTTTTCGGCTTATGATTTAAAAAGGAGGATTTATCGCTCTTGAAAGTTCAATAAAGACAAAAATAATTAGTGACAGAAGAAAAGTACCAACAATATCCCAAATAAATATTTACCCTCAGAAACGAAGAAAATGTTGGTGGCATTCTTATAATCTCCTTTCGTGAATATTTGGCTGTTACGTGAGGGAGTGCTTAGCTTAATACTATTTCAAATTGGTATGTTTCCACTTAATCCTATCTAAACATAAGTGTTTCAACAAGCGATAAGACCTACAGAACAATCTTTCAACTTAGCGCCTTGAACTACATTCTAACTATTTTATTAAATTAATGTATAGTCTGTAAATAATCTGGGCGTCCCAACAAGTTCTGTATTGCTAATTTTAAAACTCCACAAATCTAGAAGTTGCTGGAATTGGAAGGCTGTTTTAGGGATTGATTAAGGTTTTGGATAAGCGTAATATTCATGTCATATTATTTTAATTTTAAAGCAAAAAGCGAGATTATTTAATAATAATATGCTTTTGGGTCATTTGGAAGGGATACAAAAAATCCCTGTAAAATTTAACTGTTAATTGATTAAGGTTCCTAATTACCCTAAAAAGTGTTTTTTTTCACCACAAATTGTTTATTGGTGCCAAGCAGACTGTATCAGTTTATTTTCGGGGAAAAAGGAGGAGGAGGAGGTGGAGAGTGAAGTAGTTCGAAGAGAGAGAGAGAGAGGGAGAGAGAGAGAGA